CAGGGTGGAGACCACCACACCACCTCAGACTTCATTTGATGCTATATTTATTTAGAGTTCTTGTATGTAAACATAGAGGCATTTGTCTTTTAACACTGCTTATAAAAGCAATTATGGAAAATTAAAATAAAAAGTGAATTTAAATGTATCTCCCTTTGAACATAATATGAACACATAACAATACATGATACATGTGAAGCAGTGTGCAGTCTCCAGATTACATGGTATTAATCATACCATGACACACTGCAGAATTCTCTTTTTTCTTAGATTTCCCTGCTGAAACACTCCTAAAAACCTGGTAATTAGTTGGTTAAAATGTGTTTGAGCAAACTGGTCCAATAAGACCACCTGCATTGCATTGCAGTGAATTGAATAAAGACAAGGAGAGGTAATAGACATGAATGTTTAATGCAAAAAAATATAGTGATTAAAAATGAAACCGCAAAGGACCATGTCACCGGATGTTCTGCTTTCTTCATATCTCCATGAAGCATTTCTGATCCTACATTGAGTTGTAAATTCTGTAAAGATAAATCTACCAGTTGCCATGTAAAAATACATAGATGACACAGTCATTTATGTATCTATGTATGTATATATACACGCACACACACTCACACTTTTCATTTCCTCCACCAAACAAGCTGTTTAAAAACAGCTAAGCAAATGATATAATTTCAAGCTCTTCTGAAATATTAAAAAGGCAGTTGCAGGGTAAGATTTATGTATTTTTCACCTATAATTATTTAGCAGGAAATAACTTTTTAACTCCTTGAAATACTACAATGCATTTATATGTGTGTGGTATATACATTTTCTCCCTGTATTGTGTGGGCTTTTCCCTGCAATGGAAGAGCACTGATGATTTAGTGTCTCTAAACTGCCTATTGATAGCGTCTGAGTGTGGACTGGCATTTCCATCCAAGGCGGCGCCACCCCTTGTTCCCTGTGCTTATCGTGAACCTGTCCTGGATGAAGCATTTACGGAAAATTGGTTTAGAAAATATACAATATTGCAGACTGTAAACTTGTGCAGAATAGGAGGTATCTGGGTATCAGCATCTCTCTGAAATTAGTCTCATCACCAGAAATCTTTCAGATGTTTATATATTCAGAAATAAGAATATACTGTATAACATAAAAATTTTTCATTTGTAATTTGACCTGGGTTTGAGTCTCCGCCTGGGTCACATGTGTGTGGAGTTGGCATGTTCTCCCCGTGTCGTCGTGGGGTTTCTTCCCAGTACTCCGGTTTCCCCCCATAGTCCAAAGACATGCTGAGGCTAATTGGAGTTGCTAAATTGCCCTTAGGTGTGCATGTGTGAGTGAATGGTGTGTGAGTGTGCCCTGCGATGGGCTGGCCCCCCGTCCAGGGTTGTTCCCTGCCTCGTGCCCGTTGCTTCCGGGATAGGCTCCGGACCCCCCGCGACCCAGTAGGATAAGCGGGTTGGACAATGGATGGAAGGATGGATGGATGTAATGTCAGCAGCACAGAGGACAAGAAGGCAGGAGTCCAACACGGGGCACCTACACACATGCAATCATACCCTACGGCCAATTCAGAGATGCTAATTAGCTTAGCTGTACATCTCCGGACTGTGTCAAAGGAAGCAGTGTCCAGACGAAACCCACAAGACATGGAGAGAACATGCAAACTCTACACATCGAGGTGGGATTCAAGCCCTCAACCGTGGAGGTGAGAAACAACCATGCTCCCCACTGAACCACCATTATAGCACCTTAGTGCTTACTTTTGGACCTGTTTAATAGAGTAGAGAGAGAAAAAAAATCACATTTTATTCTCAGCTTTCTTAAAAATGGCTCTGTATTGCTCTGACTGGTAATAATCAGAGTCAATAGAACCAGAAAAGTCATTCAGTGTAACAAAAACGTCTCCATTTACTTCCTTTACCAGATGAACCCGCTGCTTTATTCCTTTGGAGGCCCATTTGGGTTTGAGGACCTTCTGACTTGGATCCACAGCTTGATATAATCCTTCGCCTTCCAACAGTGTGATTTTATACTTATGCCACGGACATACAATGCAAAGTTTGCCACTGAATTCCTGTATTTAGAGTAGACAAAGAAACAGGTCAGCTGATGATATCTTTACATATAAAGTGATGAAGACAGGATTTAAGTAAGCATATATGATGAAATTCATGACCTGCCTCGATATCTCCATTTTGTAGTGGTCCTCCAGAATCTGTGAAGATGTCCGTGAAGATAGGGAATGTTACGATTTCATGCTGTTATCTGGGAGCATTTTCCTCAATAAGCATAAACTGGTTTTAAATACAACCTAACAATAGAAGACTGCCTACCCAAAAAAAAAAAAAAAAAACATATATCCAATCACAAATACTGTGAGTGCAAATTAAATCTTGTAAACTGTCAAGAGAAACCACTAAAATATTGAGGAGATACGAATGCTTACATGGTAACTTGCAGTGAGTACTTACGATAGCAGCGCATGTCCATAGCATGGAAAGTGCCATTGTGGTAGAGGACCAATACATCCCTTCCATTTATGAATTTGGTCACCCTTTTGACCTTGACTATGTCTTCTCTTTTCCCTATAAAATAGGAGGATGGTGGCGATGGGTCTTCATTCTTCTCCTCAGCAGACATGAGGACCAGGTCAGCAGCAAAGACAGGCTGCATGAAAACGAATTGTTACTAAAATCGGGAGAATAATGGATAATCAAACGGAATCGTACGATAATACACAAACACGCCAAATGTCCGAGGAAAAAATAAAGTTTTCTTGGCCGAAACAAACTGGGTAAGAGTTTACTTAATGGGCACAAGTAACTTAACTCAATTACTACTCAAGCACAAACTATGAACAAGTGCAGTACTTGCATGAAATACACGAACCGTTATGATTTATTAATAACGAACATGGGATTAGTTGGTAACTAACGCTTAGTTTCTGGTTAATTAATACATTATGCAAGAGTGTAGCGCTACATTATCTGTGCCCCCTAAAGTAAAGTGTTACCACACAATGTAACAAAAAGACATACCTCACTGACTCAAGTTAGAAAAAAGACGAAGCCATTTAAAAAAAAAAAGCCAGTCCTTACACCGGACAAGATATTAAGTCATATCTATAATAACGTTGCAGAGGTGCAAAAGTGCTATACCAAGGAGTCCACACAGTCCAAAGTTAATAGTTAAATAGCAATCGTAAAGAGGTTTAGGAACATCGTAATCTGTCAAAAACCAATACAAATCCAAACGAAAGTAGGAACATTTTTAAAAACAAAAACAGCACAAATACGCGAACAGAACCTGCATCTGAAGCCGACATACGTCTATTTAAAAGATGTACAGGAAGTAGGTGAACCGGAAACAGAAGGTAAGGCGGAAAATAGCCGGACGGGATTCAGAGCGGGATTGAAGTAGAAAGCGAAAGTGACTTTCCTTTCGCAGACCAAAACATGAAGTGCAAATTACCTGGTGCCTTTAAATCACCTATTGTATGCGGTTGTGTGGCAGTGTGTGTGCTAAAAAATCAAAAAGAGCACGAAAAATTATCTCTGACATAGAGAAAGAGGTCAGGCATTTAAGGTTTGAGAATGAGCAAGAGTTTAAAAAATGTTGAAAATATTACAGGTTATTCAAATTTGTATCCAGACCAAAGGCATATATAATTTGAAAAACTAGATAAACTTATGTGCTTTGGGTCAACAGAATCCGCAGCCAGCAGCAAGACTAGCATCTGTCTTCATCTTGTAACTTGAGATGTCATCATTAAAGGAGGCTGTACCTCCAAGCCAACCTTCGGACCTTTTTCACAAGGTAATGCCATCTCATATACTTGCATGTGAAGAGGAATAAAAGACTCCTTGTCATAGGATCCAAGCATAAGCTTATCTATTACAAGATAGGTAACTGAGGCTGACCTTGAATCTTAGGCTGGCTGCTACTAGTATACTATTGTGAGACTGAACAGGCTTTGAAACACTGCTTGAAAGAGTGAAAGAGGCTGTTACTTCCTGTTCTTCCGTTATTTTGTCAAAAGGCATGGGTGATGCAGGAATTGTATACCAGTTGCATTACATGTTATCATTTGTTTTCAGTCGTAACATATTGTGCCAAATCACAAAGTCAATGCCAGCCTTATGGCATATTTCAAATACACAGTACCTCAATTCACAACACATGAATACAAAATATTCTTATACAAAACCAGTAAGCTGCACTGTTAACAGACCAATGATTTAAGCTCACACGTTTTCTTTGAACATCCCGATGTGTATAGCACCTGTTTTCCAGTAAAATTCATCATGCATTAAATTTTTTCAGTTATTTTGTTTTTTACTTACTTATTTTTTCTTATGTAAATCATAGTTCTGAGGCTAGGGATCTGCACCATCAACAGGAATGTTGTGAAAAGGAATCCTGTGAATGCCAGGAGCGATTCTATTCCATTGGGCCCTTGAGCAACACCTTTAACCTGTAATTGCGTCATCCTGGGTATGATGTTAACCTACATCCAGCCCTGCAAGCAGGTCCTCCTACTTACAGGGAAACTTGGAGGTTGGTGGCAGGATTGTCACTCCAGCCAGCAGAAAAAAAACTTCACCCTGTTCCATTCCATTCGAACTAGTGTGGTGCTGAGGTATTACCTGCGGGCGGCACGGCTGCAATCAGGTTCTCGTCCCTGAGGTTTGTCCTGTGGTGTGTGTGCTCCAAACCTCTTACTCTCACTCAGTCATTTTATGCTACAGTTTGAGGATGGAAGGAAAGATAATACACTTTATGTTATATCAATCACACAGCACACTTTATTTCACATTAATATTTGTCATTAAATTGATGCAAAGAGACAAATCTACGGTGTGAGACTAAGAAAGACAGAGAGAAATTAAGGAATTAAAGAAATGCTGATTGCCCAGAGAAGGTAAAATCAAAAATAAAAATGACCTAACCAGTATACAACATGAGAAACTGAGCATGAATATCATTTAGGATGAAGACAGATGAATATTAAGTTCCTACATTTAAACTTGTAGCTCTTTTTTGTGCCCCTTGTAATCAGCATTTCATGACAAATACCGTCTGTTAACAAAAATAAAATCAGCTTGGAGTGTTACAGAGCGCGAACACAGAAGTCACATGACCTGCACACTAAACAGGGTGTGTTCCTCTTAGACACATAAAACCAACTGCAACGCTTTTCACAAAAGAAGGCTGAAATATGAGGCAGAAGTTGCTACAACAGCAGTAAAAATCTTAAAATACTCTACTATGATTTGCTGCATTTGGGTCACTGATGTGGACGTGGATGCAATGGCAATTCCCCAGGGAATGGTGGACATATACACAGTTATCTATACTCCAACCATATGGTTACACATTGTGCCTGTAACTGAGGAGCAGTTGTGAGGTTTTACATAGAAAATATTTCTTTGTACTCTAGAGCTACATACGTGACAAATGGGGGGTAAAACCTAACAGCTTGTGTTTTATTCCATAATCATGCTTTACAAGACAGAAAGCACTGGCTTATGGGAACTTTAGCAGAGCAAAACAGATTTAAATAGTATTTATGCCACCAGTTTTAGTGATCTTCATTAATTTGTTAGACCAAAACCAAAATAAAATCCACAAATATGACAATTTCTATACAAACATTCATTTTGCTAAGTATATCAGAGGGGTCTGCTATACAATGTGGTATGTTACAGGGTGATTTTGTGAAATCGTTTCACCATCTGTGTAAGTCCAGAGTTTTTCGAGTATCATTGTTTCCTGTATTATTTGTCGCAATTCCGCCAGTATCTTCGGCTATACTAATGATTCACAAGCATAATAACGAACACCTCCAAACCTAGTTTGGTCCACATCAGTACCTGTTATACTACAGTGAAAAATTGTAACAGGTGAGAGGATGGACACACCTACATGACTGACTGTGCAACGCCCATTCTTTATCTGGAGCAACTGACACTGAATTATTCTAGTTTGCTACAATGCTTTTATCTTCAGATCCGATAGTACCTCGGATAGGTTCTAGCTACACCACGAACAAGTTATTGCTTTCCTGTAGATTTTTAAGGAGAGACCATCTCACCAGCAGGCTTCATTAAATCGAGTAACTCAAGGGCAATCTGCTACACTTTTGTTTCATGACATGTTGAAAGTATTCCATTATTGCAGCAAGTTATTTTCATCAATTGTCTCATTCCTCACAAAACAACAGGTAAGGATGGAAAAACTACACAATATTTTGTTATCAATTGTGTATAACCACTAGCAACACTTAAATATTATTTAATGGTTTAATAGTACGTGTGGTTTTCTTATCTGTTATCAGAAGTGGGAGAGCAGATTTGCTAAGAAAAAAAATATCGAGCTGTTCTTATTTTTTCACAACAATTTATGACTGTTAAATGCTGTTGGGAAACTCCATAAAGCTGTTTCTTAAGCAGTATATGGTGCTCCAGAAGTTCTCTGCCGCCCAACACAAGCTGTATATACCAAGAAAGCTTCTCTGCTCACATGTACACTGTGTTCTGAAGCCTTTCCCTCCAGAGACAAGGCCATAACTCTCCACACTCACGGTCCAGAAGCTGTCTGATTACTTCCTCACATGTTCTTCATGCGTCGCAATATTAATCACATTAACAACGCCTAGATTTTTGAAGGTCACAATTTAAAGAGCAGAAGACACAAAAACAATGAACTGCCGTTTCCCAGACCCATATCATATTTGTTGCTACTCTTGATGTAGAAAAATGTGATTGAGACACATGTAATGGAACAGACAGAGAATAGGCATGTGGAATCCAATACTTGCATCAAGTCTTCTTCAGAACTGAAAGAGGCTGTGTTACCTGTATATCCTATGCTGGGTTTATCATTGTAAAAAATACAATTTGCAGTTGTGTATATGCAGCTTTTGGAAGGTTGCGACTACTAAAAAATAGTCAATTTTATGTTCACGCGCAAGCAGGCATGCAGTTGTGCTGTGATGGTGCACTCTGGCCCCCTGCTTGACCTTGAGAGGTCAGGCGTTCTGTGCATCCACTGAGCAGGTAGTGATCATTAGCAGGTCATTTCTGCACGTCCACATCCCTGACAGGGAATCCTGCTCTGTCGTCCCAAAGCTGAGGGGAGAGAAGTCCTCTGCCTCTCTCCCTGCGCCATCAACTGCAGACTGTGAGACATTCCTCTTGGAGAGAGGAAAGGAACATACTTGCGAGGAGGCAGGGGCACATGGTGCAAACACAGATAACATGAGCAAGTATCTGAGCAAGTATCTGAGCAAGTATTTAAAAAAAAACATGGAAACAAAACAGTAGCTGATATCCATTTATACATCCAGTCAAGCAGTACTCTGAAATATGCATGCAAAGCCCTTACTTTCTCAAAAAAAACAAAAACTTATGTTCATCACAAAGGAACATTTTGTGCAAGCTTCAAAAATTAGTGTACAGAAAATAAAACAGTAATGACCTGCAGGATATATCTGAAGAATTCTTAGACCCTGACTCTGCTTTGCATCCTGACAGTCAGTGCCGCAGTAAATCAAGTTCACACCTGCAGACAGGACTTCAAGTGTAAGGATCTTTTCATGGGGCATTCTATTAAGATGGGTGTTAATGGTTTGACAGATAGTGTTGCTGCCATTTGTAGAGCAAATATGGTTCAGTGAGGGATGGTTCAATATGATGAGTACAGAAATCATGGGCAAATGATTCATTTCAGAAATCATGAGCAAATGATTCGTTTCAGAAATCGTGAGCAAATGATTTGTTTCAGAAATCATGAGCAAATGATTTGTTTCAGAAATCGTGAGCAAATGATTTGTTTCAGAAATCGTGAGCAAATGATTCATTTTAGAAAGAAAGGTCATATTGTAGTACTACGGGACAAGCCCACCAAAAGCAGAAGATTGTCTACTAGAAATGTTATGTCAATGCTGGGTTTAGGACTGACATTACTGATTTGGTGGCTTTTAGCAGGAACATCTGGAAATGCTCTTGTTGCGCGATCTTGGTATTTTGTGATAATGCTACACTCGTCTGCAAATGGTGGTTTTGGGAGGAAGGTTCTGAAATGATGTGGCTCTGAAGGCGCTGGTTCTGGATTCTTTTAAACAACAAAAAAAGCCCTGGCTTTCACAAGGAAGAGTGTGAACAAGGAAGGAGGAGACAGACTAGGACACACGTGCTTTTGTGCAAAGACATATTCAGGGAGAGGGCATCTGAACAGGAACATTAATGCGAGGAGGTGTTGAAGGAATGAAGAAGCCACGGGGGGGAAAGGTCAGGACTCCTCGTTGCCAGAGTCCTCATCGTCATTGTAACAATCAGCACCCTCTCCACTGTTCTCTCCACCAGTCCCTCCTGCCTCCCCATCATCGTCGTCATCCTCTTCCTCAATGTCATCGTCATGCAGGTCATCATAGAGCAAGTCAGAGCTGCTGTCGTGGGAAGGCACTTTGGTCTGGATGCAGTACTCAGCCAACGTGGTGGGAACTTTGACTCCATCTCGCTCTGCGTCTGCTTTAGTGGACAGAACTTGCTTCCTAAGCCCAGAGAATCAGAGAGTGAAAGTGTTACTATCATTTGTAATATTCTTTTACTATTACATACAGCTAGTTTCAAATACTTACATTGCTTCAAAAGTTACACAATATTCTGTCCCGCCTTGGCCTGTACTATGTAACATACTATACTATACTATACTATACTATGCTATGCTATGCTAATGATATGCTATACCACACCCGTATTTCCTATACTATACTACACACTATATACTAATACTCTACTGTACTATACTACACATTATATTATATTATATATAAATATCCTAGAACAGTTTATATTAAGTACTTTTCTATAGTAATGACAGTTCTATTAAACATGTACCATGTTAAGGGGAAGGTTATTACATTATTATCATTGTTATTGTTCTGGAATGTTTTCCAACCTGATTATTTCAGCATACTCCTTATCCTTGCCCTTGCTGTCCCTCCATTTGCGGAACATCACAGAGGCATCTACGTTGGCCGGTGAGAAAGTGTTGGGCTCATTCAGCAGTGAGATTACACTCAGCAGAATAGTCCTGAACATGTAGAAAAGTATGTAACTGTACTTTGTCATATATACCAGTGGTGTTATTTGTTATACCAGCCCATGCCAATGATACCTGACGTTCTGGGTAGGGTTCCACCTCTCCGATGGCAGCTCCCCACTCTGCGGATCATCCACAGGTGGGTGCAGGATTGAAATACATACATCTCCATTCTGCAAAAAACAACTGTTGATTAGGCATACAGTAAAATAAACACACACAGAGCAAGTTCTTATTCATTCTCATTTGATGCACAAATCTACACGCCCCACAGAACCTACCAGAGGTGGAAAGTTCTTGGTCTGGATTTTTACTTTCTGAACCTGAATTTTCCACCTCTTGTGGTCCTTGTGTCTCTTTCTGTTGATCCAACAGATTGTGCCATATACAAAAATTCTCTGATGATTCCACCACTATTGGGGTCATTGATGATGGAGAATGGAAATACAGGAGACTTCTACAGTTTGTTTAGGAAGTGGAGGCAATGTAGGCATAGAAGTACTTGGATGCCCACCTAAACAGCAGGGTAAATAGAGTAGCCCTGTACAAGCAAGACCAAAGTAGGCTAGTCTTTTTGAGGTGAAGCGAGCTCCTGGTGATGTTCTACCAGCCCATAACAGTCAGTGTAATTTAATATGCAGTGGTCTACTGGGGGAGCAATATCATGAAGCAACTCGGGAGCAACAAACTGGACTGTAGGGCACAACACATTGTAAACACATTTGAGGCTATTGCCAAAAGATGGATGACAGCAAAGCTATCAGTCATCAAGATGACTGATTCCCATCCCCTTCACAATGCTATATGCACCATTACCTACTAATGGTAGGTAATTAAGTAACGGTACTAACATACATTAATGTGTTTTATTTATTTCTATCTATGTATGTTTTTCAGCTGTAGGTATTATCTTTGCAGTCATGTGTTAATTTGTGTGTAAAGAAAGATGCCATACCTCATAGATATTAGGGTGCCACATCTTCGTAAGAAACCTGAAGGTTGGGGGGGAGTAGGGGTAATCTATAGGGAACTTGATGTGAGCCTGTGGACAAATACAAAGCAAAAAAGACAACAGTTTTGATGAGAAGGTTGTCAAGTCTGCAAAAAATAATAGCAATTTCTTTGAAGGCCTTTGGTTATGTTACCTTACACCAGTTCAGTACGTTAACAAGCCTGTAAATGATGTAAACCAGTGTTTCCCAACCCAGTCCTGGGGAACCCCCAGAAGGTCCATGTTTTTGCTCCCCTCCAGCAAAAATGTGGACTGTATGGCAGGGAGCCAGGAAGGAGCAAAAACATAGACAGTCTAGGGGTCCCCTAGGATCGGGTTGGGAAAAACTGAAGTAAACCATCAAAAAACAAGTACTAGATACAAGTTTTAATGACTCTTAGTGGGAATTTGCCCTTTTAGCCAGATTTTTCCTTTGGGTGAGGATAAACGACCACAAATGTCATGCCACCTTGCCCCATTCATCTGCTTTTCTTTCTGACATATGAGTGATAACTCATAAAGAATTCTCCAATAGCATTCCACTATTGCGTCGATGGAGATGGATCCAATATGTGCTGCGTGTGCCACCAATGTCTCTACTAAGAGCAGCCCTCAGGCTGGAGAAACAGAGGCAAGCACAAGGAGACTTGGAGGAAGACAGAGGAGAAAGAAATGAAGGGTCCGGGATGGACTTGGGGCTACCTGGAGAGATGTGCCTCACAGAGACCACATGGGCTTTGGTGGAGGCCTTATGCACTACCCAGTGCAAAGAGGTCTAAGTACTAGTGTTACTCTAAGTTACTCTGAGGAGTAAAATGGTACAATCAGCCAACACCATGTAGGTCGAAGAGTCTCCTTCACGGTAGTAAATATTCAGATGGACAAGTGTCTAAGAATTAGAATACCTTTCAGAAAAACTGAGCATGTAAATTAATTATACATAAGTAGTAAATACATGTCCTACTTATGTTTTGATATCTGACTGAATTCTGATGATTAGCAAATCTTGAACGATAGACTTTCCATTTTGAATGGAATTAAATCACAATTAGTTTAATATTAAAAAAAAGTCTTTATCCATGACCATGTATCTATTTTTCCCGTATCTCAGAAAATTTTGCTTAAATACTCACAGAATCATTTTGAATAAAATTCTCTTGGTCAATTTTTTAGAGAAAACAAGATATCCTGTATCTAAGGTCTGTAGGTCCAGCAGTCTCAGTCATGCTGACTCACTGTGAGAGCTTAAACGAGATGCTGTGTTGTGCCATGCTACATAATATAATTCCAACCCCAGAGCAAGTCAGACAGGCAGGGTTATGGTGGGAGCAATCTGGAGGGGTTGGGGTGGCATGGAGGGGGGGGGAGGCGGTGGAAGTCTGGTCTTTCTCTGTGCTAAATATATCAGGGCCTTTATTGGAGGGATCCACATTTAGGACAGAGTTGTCAGATAGCTTGAAGGCAAACAAATCCATCCACAGTCTTGCTAAACCACAAGCTATCTTTAATAAAACATGGTCCTTCAACATTCCACACGTTATCTAAGCTGCAGAAATACACCTTTGCACAGTCAACTACTTATTCAACCGAACTATAAAACATTCACTCATAATAATTAATTATTCCACTCTTGATCAATCAAATATTTTCCACTTAGTCACACTCTCAATAAAACTTACTCCAGTTCTATCACAGCCAACCCGAAATAGACCTGACCATTAATCAGACCTATAAGGTGTTTTCCTTTTTTATATACTCATATAAATTGGTTCATGGTGAAACTGTCACACACATGCACTTTTTTCCATTCAAAACACATTCTGACCTTCCGAAAAACTAATCTGAAATTAATCTAGTTTACTAAAGTCCAAAAGAACATGCTTGTTTAAGAATTATAGAACATATTACAGGATATCTGTGATCATTTGGCACCCAGTTCTGGGTTATTCCCTGCCTTGTGCTTGGATGGATGGATGGATGGATGGATGAATGATAGAATATAGTTTCATTTTTTTTGTGAAACTCTAATAAATCAAAATAAGCATACATATAAAATGCAACTGGGTGGGGCAGAAATGTTTTTGAAGACTAATACTGATATCAGACCCTCATAATTTGCAGAATACAAACAAGCCTCATTATGCTTGTATATCACGAACAGTATTATACACATGAAAGCACATCAACAAGCCTCAAAGTGATAAAGTGTGGTCAAACACCTTAAATATCACCAGACATTGAGTACTGGACATTGAATACAGTAAGCTGTAAACACATTCAATGAAAACAAATTTATAATCTCAAAAGAAAAATCCACCTTTCTTCCAGTACAGGACACAAGGCAAAAGTAGACTCCAGATAGGATGCTAGTCTTTCGCAGGACACACACTCACTATGGGCAATTCAGAGATGCCACTTAACCTAACTGCAAGTCTTTGGACTGCAGGAGGAAACCCAAGTACCGGTACTTGGCAGAAACCTGTGTGACACAAGAATGCGCAGACTGATGGACAGATACATACAAAATATAGCATATGTACTGTTTGCTTGGCATTATGCTATTTTCAGGGGAATGCTCCTTTTATTATATGTTTCTGGGAGTTACTGCAGACAGTAATCTGATGCTGAAATACCCAAAGGGCCATTCGAGAACTAAGGAGATAAGCATTAAGCCAATCCAATTCACTCTTTGGGCAACTTATTAAATTTATTAGATAAGAGAACAGGATGAAAAGGAACAGAGAACGGGCATGACAGGCCCTGGAATTACACAGAAACACAAAAAAGACTATAAGCAGAATAACAGAAAACTGGCAGGATGACATCACACCTCTCCCAGTTCAGTAAGTCCCTTAAAAAACTTGCAAGAGGGTGTTCTCCCATTCAGAATATAATCCACTGTGCCGCTTACAATTGTACTTAATGACCAAATTCCAGTTTGGAAAGAGGCAGGGAGTGTAATTCTCTGGCCTCATTTTATATAAGCAGGCTGAGAAGAAAGCCATAATCGTACATTTAAATAGCTGTGGGGGATACTTTCAAGGATTTGATAAAAGTGATATAATATACAAAAAGTTAATCATCTCTCATTCAACCAGTAAAAAGTTGGATGAAAATTAAATGTGTTTTGTCAAAACAAGTAGTTACATGAGGTGATTTGCTGCCTACCTCGTACCAGAAATGTGTACCATGGGCAAAAAAATGTACTTTTGCCCGTATGAAATCATGCAGAAAAATCCGCATACACACCGGCCCTTTGTGGAAGAGATTGGCTACCACTGAAATAGATGGTATTCCTATAGAACATTCTGCCTTCTGTCTTGGTCTGCAGGCTTCCTAATGGCCTGTTCAGTGTTCAGATGACTGAATCCATCCATCTTGTTGCTAGTTGTCTTTTTCATACACTGGACATTTTCATAACAGGTCCATATTAATTCAAACTGGTCAATTGTGCTTCGAGTGCTTTTAATGTACTGTAACATAAAGATGACATCATTTGAATGGCAAATGATTGCACTGTATGGTTCTTAGACATACTGTAAATGTAACATTTTGCACAAACACATTTTCTTGGCTATTAGGACAACTACACAGTAATCCTCTTTTCAGTTTCTAATATTGCAAATTATATTAAATAATTGAAAACAATAAATTGCAAATGAAACACATTATCTCATTTCTTGTCAAGCATTGCTCTTCATTCCCCATCTGAACTTGTCTACTCCTCCTAGATTGTGATTTGCTTAAGATTACTTAATACTCATACTATTTCAAACCGAATCCAAGAACTTCTGTCTCCAAGAGACAGGGTGCATCTCTTAAAGCACCTTCAGGCATGAAAAGAAGCTTTTCTATGGCGCTTGTTTTCCTGTGGGAGTTCTTGAGCAAAATGGAATGAAGCCACAGACCGTCCTGCAGCTCAGAAAGTGGATTCAGTATATACTTATAGTTAGGTAAAAAGATTTAAGGGTCTCCTAGCTTTGGGTTGGGTTTGTTGCCCTGTGCCTCAGGTATATAGGTGCGTTAGTGTTTACAGCCTGTGTTCAGTGTGCTATGCTAGCGTCTGATAACTTTTTCATGTTTGTTTTGACAAACAAAAGAAGGTGCCACAAGTTTACCACAACAATGTGTGGTACGACAGAGGATGATAAGTTTATCTCAAAGGGTATGTGTTTGTGTACCAGCTAGCACAATGTGTGCTCTGCATCTATCTGGGGTGGTATATAAACCTTTCAAAACCAGGGCTGGGTATCACCACTGATTTCCCAAAGAGATTCTATTCTGATTCACAAGGTCCCGAATCAATCGATTTCTGATTCGATTAGGGATATTTCACTTACAGTACAATTTTAGGAAAGAGATTCTCAGTGAACTAACTTTGTAAGTTGTACAAGAAACCCTCTCACCTGGTTCATTATTAAAAATTAGGGCTGTCAAAATTAACGGGTTAACACAGATTAATCCATCATCATGATTAATCTGATTTAAATTTTTAACGCAATTAGCCCATCTGCAGCGCAGAATGACTCAAAATCCCTGAAATGTCTCTGTCAACCCATTTCGGGCAGTTTTAGTGCGTTCCATTTGCCCTGGGAACTCGTATTCCGAGTCGTATTCCGGAGTTTTGAAGCCGGAAGTGACGACATGCGCGCTCCCGTTTCTCAGACATCCGAGAAATATCTCGGAGCAGCACAGAGGATCCCGAGTTCAGAATCCGAGATGGCTGCGCCTTTTATCAACAGAAGGGAAAGTTGTAGTTTTATACTGTTTAAGCACTACTTCTCATTTGTGGCTCATTAAATCGGTCGCACACACTATACCGTCCAACTTATCTGTGGACGTGTTGCTACGGAGTTTTATACGTAAAGCACCGCTTGTAATGTGTTATCAACTGATATTGATAACAATGGCAATTAACCAGGCTAGAATTGGATTTCATGATTAGTCAGATTATTTGTTGGATTTACGGTAGTTCGGGCTAATTGTAAGTGAACGAAGATAAAGACCATTTAAACTGAGGTACCTTAAATACGACAAGTTGTCCAGCTAAG